ATTCATTTGCAATGGACCTGGTAGTGGAGAAACGGTCCCTTAAGGCCAATAATCTTAGGCGGCGATCTTCACGGTCTGTTATTCTACGGCGGCGTCCAGTGCCCTTGCTCTTTGCGTACGGCCTTCTCGAAGCCATGCCTGACAACACCTAACCACAGTGTCTACACTTCTTTGCACTCTAACTGCAATTGCCCGAAAAGAAAGTCCAGCTTCCCGAAGTCCCACTATACGGCCCCTATCAAACTCACTAAGTTGACGAAATCGTACAGGTCTCCGTACTCTAGGCATCGTAACCGATCGTAAAGGATGTCAAGAACCAAAATCCGCCAACGTTGATTCTTTACTGCGGCTGAAATATTCATTTTTAGAGCGTTAGTGAATTAAAAAAAGCAGTATAAAAACCGGAATGTCCAACTGATAAGGCTGAAAATTTTTTCACTTGTTATTTACAGTAACATAAATACATTCACCAACTTTTATTAAAATAAAACCACTTAAACTGGGTGTTCGGATTTATATGTCACTTAGTATACATACAACTGCTGTGTAAACACAGCCAGTTTTGGCATGTCGCCTCTAGCGCATTCCTAGATTCGTTTTTTTAAATTCTCGACGTTCGAAATAGGCGATTTTCATTTAGAGGAGTATCCGGGTTTGAGAAGGCCAACAAATATGACTATACCCCATTCGTAGTCCATTTACACAAAACTCAATATGCCTAAAAGCTAGATTGTAGATGTCCGTATTTTTCTCGATGGTCTTGGAATAATCCAACAAAATAAATGATTATGTTTATAGAAATAAGTGCACACAATTCTTTATTCGCTGGAAGTACTTGAATCATCGTCCGAATGGTTAATATTAATTATTAAAGGTTCAATTTGAATACCGATCATATTGTCCACTCTGTTGACAGCTTCATAAAACAAATTTTTCGCGTCAAAAAATTTGAATGTTCTATTGTTTTGTTTATAGTTTTTTATATCTGCCCAAATTATTTCAATGGGATTTAATTCACGGCGATAAGGGGGTAGTCTTATTTTACCCATTTCGTCAATGACATTAAGATTATATTTATATTTGTGCTGCCTGACTACATCGATAAGTTCTGCTTCGACCATATTTTCATTGAAACTAATGTCTTTTTATATGAGCCATTGTTGAATTTCTGCCTTTCTTGTGGACATTGTGGGAATTTTTTCTAGTTTTCTAGTGTGGTATGAAGCATTTTCAAGTACAATGACGGCATTATCGTCAAGCTTTGGAAGCGTTTCTTCAAACCATCGTTCAAATGAACTCCCGTCCATTTCTTCATGGTAATCGGTCGTTTTCTTCGGCTCAAATGCCCATAGGGCAGTGGGGACAAAGCCATCTTTACTGCCAATGTGACATATAACAAATCGTTTTCCTTTTCCTGGAAATAATTATACAGTTGTTGCTTCCAAATCTACCAGATATAGTTAATTTTAGTGAAGCTAAGTTTTCAGGGTGGGCTAACACGGATGTCTTTTAAGTTTTGCGTATGGAAATAAAACAACACGGTAGGTAGTTTTAAATGACTTTATTGTTTTTCGAAGTATTCTCCACGAAGATTAATACACATCTGCATGCGCTCAAACCAATTTTTGAAGCACTTATTCCACTCGTTTGCTGGCAGATCCAAAACGGCATTTTTGAATGCGTCAACTGCTTCTTCTGGTGACTGGAACCTTCGTCCACGCAGTCTGTTTTCAATTTTTGGGAAAGTAAAGAAATCGTTAGGACTTAGATCGGGACTATATGGAGGATGGTCCAATAATTCCACGTTTTCTTCCGTTAAATACTGCCTTGTTTTTTGGGCTGTGTGCGAGCTTGCATTGTCTTGGTGGAGGATGATTCTTTTTTCGGGGTTGATTTTTCGAAGCTCGGTGATAACTTTTGGCAAACAAATGGTGGTATACCAATCCGCAGTAACAGTTCTTTGCTCATTAAGAGGAATTGTTGCAATATGACCCGCTTTTGACACAAATGTCGCGGCCATCTTTTTCGAAACACTTCGAGAACGGATGACTGTTGGCTTTTCTTCACCTTGGAACACCCAAACGACTGTCGTTTATTTTCTGGTTCATAACAGTAAATTCACGATTCATCACCACTAACAATTCTGTACACATTTTTTGAGTTTCCGGAATCGAAACAGTCAAGCGTTTTTTGACACCAATTAACCCTGGCTGCTTTCTGCTCTTCAGCCAACACGTGGGGTATCCAACGTGAAACTAATTTTCTTACTCCTAATTCTTCATGTAAAATTTTTTGAATTGAGGTCTTTGAGATCTTCAAGGACGCCTCAATCTCGCGATATGTCACATGTCTATCTTCAATGATGAGTTTGCGCACAGCATCGACGTTTTCCTTCGTCGCTAAGACTCACCCGTCCACGTTTGAATTCTTCGTACCAACGGGAAATTGTCGACTGATGTGGCGCTTCGTTGCCGAAAACAGACAGGAACTCAGCAAGGCATCCTTGTTGAGATAATTGTCTCTGGAAGTTGTAATAAATTATGGCGCGAAAATGTTGAGTTCCATTTTTCTAATGACTTGGTGACACTTAAAAATTCACTGTATTGACAACGCTGCACGTATTGTTCTGAAAATTTGAATTTAAGTTTACTAAAGAGTGAGGTTAAGATTCAGTACTGACGTAACGATCCGCGTGGCCTACTATAGTCAATTTTAAGCGGATAACCAAATGAAAATGGTATTTACCATTTTTGGTTGGTATTTACTGATCCATTCAAGCGAGTGTGGTTATCAGCGTGGTTATAACATCCGTGACGTCATGAATCAGCTGTTATATGTCATAGTTATCACCGCAAAATTGTGGTATCTACCTAACTCGGGAGTAGTTTTATATTTCTGGTTATTATTTGAAGTGTGACAAGTTATAATTTTGCCGGATATTGCATATTGTTATTGCACTCCAGCTTCCTTTTTGGGAAACTTCATACAGGCCGACTTCAGTTTTACCATCATAAAGTGGAGCACCTTATTAGTTATACTCATTACTGTTGTTGGGGATACTTTAAATGTAGTTCCTAAGCTTAACAAACTATCCTGTGTAGCCATATACCACAAGAATATTAAAATATGGCCATATAAACTCACTATAATGTCCACCTGTATACGGTTTTGCTAATTTCTTTTTTCATCATTTCTGCTGAATCAATAAATTGATGTTTTCTTTGACATGCGGAAAACTTTAGAGAATTGAAAGTTATCATAGCTACAAAGCCATGGTTCCATCATTAAAAAAAAATCTGAAAGAAAACATTTCTCCCATGAATATATGAAAGGTTTCTTATTTAAACTTTCCATACACAGTTGTAGACCAAAAAGCACCGATTATCAAGTGATAATAAAAATAATCAGATATTATATACGCGCTTTTCTAAAATAAACAACTTGCAACAAAACCGCGGTTAAAACCAACGTGTTCAAGTGATTCCTGTAACTGACGTCATCAACCCGTGTGTTATCTTGAACAATATTATGACCGCGGCACATAACACAGAAATTTTGGTTATTCTCTTGGATTTGATTTGTTTCTATAAGCAAAACTTAAAGGACATGCCTCGTAGATTCAGTTTACTCGATACCATTTTTACAACACAAATGGTTAGATACACGCACCTGACGGATTCTTTAGACCAGTGCTTAGTCCATCTAAGAAGGCTTGTCTTGCTGAATTACTTGAAATCATCCCATACTTCAGGTTCTGTATGTCCTGCATGTATCCAGGTTTCATCCAAGTAATAAATCTTCCTGCCCTGGTCGCGGTATTGCTTTACTGATTTTAAATAATTTCTTTGGAAGTAGGTAAGTCGTCACTATTAACCTACTGTAATACTTTATCTATGGTGGGAGGTTTAAAGAAATTGATAGACTTTGCGTCTGATGGAATTCCGATCAAAGTTATCAACTGTATTCAACAGCTTCGTGTAATGCAGCCTCTTGTGTGGTGGAGAAAATTTTTTATATTCTTTAACAATATTGAAAATTGTCTTAGGACATAAGCCTGTTTTGATCGCCACACGTCTTTCAATATCATGAATTGTCATTTCAGGATGCTCTAAAATTTCGCTCTTATAAACGTGAACGACAATTTTTTTGCCTGAATATTCAAATGTCCTTTCTTGTCACGATTTCGGGGAAGATTGGGAGAAATGTTCTCCGTTTCATCTGCTGTATCCGTAGTCGACATGCTAACATATAAACACACGCTATGTAAGCGCCGAATATGAACAGCAACTGCAGGCGTCGGCGTGCCGGCGATACCCCGAGGCTGAGTTCTATCCTGTCGAATCCTGTTCGTAGTTTTATGGCCGGGGCGTGAATGGACCTCGAATAGGGTATAGCATAGAAGTAGTGACAGCAGAAAATTCGATAATGAATTCATGATCGGTTTTTTCATATATTTTTAACATGTCGTGAAGTTACTTTATGACGAAAAGGGACGTTTGAGAACAACTCGCATAAATATAATTGCTATATTTTGTAGAACGCTACAGAAGGTGCTCAAACCTCCATATATTGCGCTGTTCAAAATGATTTGGAGCCATTCAGTGGGGAGCACTTCGAGGACTGTCATATGGTTGAAAGATACAAATCAGCTCAGGACGTATGGATAGCAAAGTCGGTCTGGGCTAAGTCAGAAAATGTTGTGCAACTACGATGAGTACACCACCGCACATCGTTTTGAATTTATTGAAAAATGCATAATATCCAACTGTATAAACGTGAAGTTTTATCCTTTATATCATCTCAAATACTATAAAATATTAAAATAAAGTTTCACCATTTATTATATTGAATAAATGCGCCTTTTTATGACATGTCGTGTTACTTACATGAATACAGAAGTTCTGAAAGGCATTTAAAAATAAGGTAGCGCATTCAAGTGGAGAAGTAAAATACTCCCAGAAACTGTCAACAATTTTATTAAATTCCAAAACTAAGTTTCTGTTCAACAATAAAGGTAAGCAAAAACAAGCAATCCTAATTCTAATATGGCATATAATGAGGTATTTTTTAGTGATTGAAAAGGATAGTTTTGAATGTAAAATGTATTAAGTGTAAACAATAGTTCTAATGCCAAAAAAAAAGTGTAAACAATATTGAATGGCTTAGTTTAGATGCTTCACAAAAAATGTAAATGAATTTTTTAGTGTCAAAACATAAACTTTACACCCGCATTATTCTTTATAACACATTATTAAAGTGATTTAAGAAATGACTAGAATGATAATGTTTGACTCTTACAATAAGTAGAGAATCGATCTTTATACCAAGATATGTGTATTAGTTATAAAATGCGTATATTATATCATGAGCAATTTTAATCGATGAATCACAGCCTAATGCAACTGCCTGATATTCAAAATGCAGGTAAATATCTCGAAAAAGCACTGTAAATGTTAAACTGTTATTCCACAATTGGACGAAAATTGACACTATTAGTATAGTCAATTCAAATCACGTGTAGAGTAAACATACCATGAAACATGGCTGGTACTGCATTTCAGTTACATAAAAATCACAACACAAAATCATACAAACATTATCATCAATAGTGCTTGAAGATTACTCAAGGTTGCCTAAATTATCACTGCTTATTTTAAAAAAAATGTTTCTAGAGAACCAGACACAGACTTTTTGATCATAATCCTAACATTTACTCTATCCTGAATTTGAATAGACCATCGGTGAATACTATCATAGGTTGTGTGCATAAATAATCCTAGTCAAGTGACGTATCTCTAAAATATTAGCTGGTTCTTCTATTAGATCCGGTGGTGATCTATCTCTCGACTAGCCTTTGCTACGAAAATTAGCAATTTATGTCCTGCAAAGATTTCAGTTATTTTTCCTAGCTGCTCTCTTCCTTTTCGTGTTCAATCTCAATGTTACATTCTCTTCATCTTCTACATTTACGTCCCATATTTTCAAACGTATTGGGAGATAAACCAATCCTCCCAGTGTAACTACTAAAAATTATAGTTCTAAGTAAAAATGAAGACTCGAACGATTCGTTATTTTGAGGGATATGAAATTTTCCACCAAGTCCCTATTTTATATGATACGAATCAATCGATGTTTTCTTTAAAAAATACACTGGTCTGTAATGAAAAATTTGGAGAGGTCAATTAATTCAAGGCGTTCAAGTAGTATGAAGGCATATAGACGTACTGTTTAATAGTAGCACATATCATATTTGTTTAAAGTAACAAATTTGATCAATTGTCTACACGACGAGGTTTCTACTCCATATTAGAATTACCTCTCATTTGTAAAGCACATGTTCCAGAATAAAAAACATAAATTAATTTTATTTAAGGGCCTCACCATTTAGAATGAAGGGAAATACAACATAAAAATTCAATGTTGCTGCTCTGAAGTAGATTGTTTCTGTTGAATACAATATAATTGTTAATATCAGGGAGCAAACTCCCATGCTAACAATCCTGAAACAAAAACGATAGTACATCTAAACTGTGAGTCAATATTGTATTCATAAGAAGCGAAAAAACATGTTTTATACTAAAGTAGCCGTGTATGCAGAAACCTGAATACTGGTGCACTGTGATTGATATAAGGAACTTAAAGAACGCCTTGTTATCAACAAAATGCACAAATACAACCTTCAAATTGTGCCATAAGTACACATTCAGTTTTTGTTGTGTATGGTCATAAAACCGTAAATTTTTACAAACGTTCATTACAAGGTGTTAATATGTGTGGGACAAATCTTGGAACTAAATTTTGAACCAGTTAACTTTACCCAATTGAGCTAACATTTTGTACACATGTTGGTTTGCGTGACGATACAAAACGAACTGCCGCCTTTTTGAATCCAATATGGCACGACACAATTACCAAAGTGACGTCATTCTAAATCCAATATGGCGACCACCGCAAAATGGCGATTCAGATTTTTCATAGGTCCCCTATGATATGAGTAACAAATAAAAGGGCTTGATGAGAGAAAGACAATATATACACAACAACGTCATTCTAATTTCCATATGGCGAACGCCGGAAAATATGGATTTATCATTGTATGATTTATATCTGTCGAAAAATGAGATGCAAATAGAATTTACCGAACTAGTTATTTGACATACAAAAAGAAAAAAGAATTAAAATAAAAAAATCCTTTTTAATAACATACTTCTATTAAGCTGTGAATAAAATGTGAAAATATTTTTTTTTCAATTTGGAAATATTTAAACGTAACGGAGCAAATAAAATAGCAGAATGGAAAAATGGTGTAACACGCTTTTATTTGAAAACTTGAAGGAGCTTCATTATCGTTCAAATATTTCCAATCAAAAAAAAATATTTTTATATTTTTAGTTCACTTTATTAACAGTTAGATAAAAGATTGTTTTTAAACTGAATTTTTTATTTAATTTATTGTATTCCTGAACTCAATATTGCACTCCCTTAATATTCAAAAAATTCACTTTGAATAATTTAACACTGTCATAATCATTTTGATAGAAAAGTGTTGATATAAAATTAGATGTCAAAATGTCTTAACATATGGTAACACGTGAGAGCGTCAGTATGTGACATGAGAATGGTAAGTTTCTAAATCCATAAACTTCTAGGTGTATATAGGATTCCACATATATTCTCACTAAGTTTAATATGGGCCTAACAGTTTATAAGGCCTAAATATAGATAAGGTAAAGAGGGACTCAATGACATAAGGAAATGTTAACCTCAGGTGATAGTATTACCCTAAAAAGATTAACTAGACACCTTCAGATAATCCCTTAAACAGGATTAGAATAAAGAGAGCATAGAATATTTCATTTGAGCTTATAGTATTACCCCTGAATAATGTTATTTTGCCAGTACCTTAATCAGAAATCACTTATATTAAAATTTCATTACAAGATTCTATACATATATCTAGCTTTTATATGTTACTGGTTAAAAGTGATGAGAATATCTTTCAAGAAAACTGCATTAAGTATGCTACCGAAAATTTAAATATCGACATCAACCTTTATTGTGTGTATTTAAAATTTTAACTTCACAGGCACTTAAAATGGCAATTCATTTTGTAAAAATTAGATTAGATCTATTTACTAGCAAAACTAAAATGAATCAGATGAAGGATAAGATAATAGCTATTTAACCTGCTGACTGCAAAATCCGTCATTATGACGGGTACGTTTTACATTTATGCTGTTGGGATCTTTTCAACTTGAAGCTACTGTGATCTCATTTAATAGTCATATTCGATGTTATTTAGATAAAATGTGTTCTTAATTCCCACAAATAGATCAACTATGGTTGGTTAAAAAGTGCATTGCACTGGAACAATTTTCCAGAATGGGTGGGATGGGTGTTCCATATAATGGGATATGCAAGTATGTTCTAGTCAAAGAGTTATAAATGCAGTATTTAATCCAAAGTTATCCCATATGGAAGGTGATGTGATATTAAAAGTAATGATTAAAATAAGTATCCTACAGAAAACAATAGCTGTGTTTACTAACTTTCAGTAGCTGATTCTGAGTCATTTTTAGCTCACCTGCTGAATCCCTAATCCCTACTATTATCAATAAGAAAGTGTAGATGTTTGTGACTTCCCAGAAAGAACTTTCATGTCCTAATGGAATTTATCAAGTGGAGCTTTTTCACTGAAGCACTCAGTCGCTGGCCAGACAATAATATATATATATAGGTGAAAAATTAAAGCTTCCGCCTTTTGTTGGGTACTTCGACAAAAATTTAAGCAAAGAGGACTCTTTATACTTTTTTTATTCTCTCAAGCTATCAATGGACTTTGCCATGATCATCAGGAGAGTAGTATGTTTGGATGTTGTTGTTTACGTTGAGGATATATACTTCGAAGTTGAGTCATTTATTTTGACAGTGAGTAGATCTGATCAAAAGAAATGTTTTTTTCCTTTACCATTTTTCTGGTAAAATTAAAGTAACAAAGTTATAGCCCTTTGGAAGTTTGAGTACCGCCCTGTCTCAATAATAATATTATGTGCTCGTGTTTGGCGACAACGGATATAATTCGCCTTATCGGTTCATCGCATCGGAAACAAAAAAGCGAAAGAATTTGGAACGATGTTTTTACAATTATTTCATTCAGTTGTATACAGTCAGTGTCAGTCGGTAGTGGATAGTGGTGTCTGGTGCGTGGCTCAAACGAAATAAAAAATGGCACATGTTTATGCGGATCGGTTTCCCAATCGAGTGCAACCAACCCCTCGTGCCTTTGTTAATGTAGTACAACGGGTTCGTGAATCATTTGACTTAAGACCTCACATATGGACGGCATGCCGGTGCTCCAAGACCTCACGATCAAATACAGGTCCGCACTGAAATACTTGTCGGGAGGATACTTTATAAAACAAGGTAACATTTTTTTTTATTTTTTTTTTATTTTTACACACATATTTTGGTTTATCTTCCTTCTACAATCATTATCTGAAAATTAATGACTCAACTTCAAAGTCACCCTGTATATGGGTTGTTATATATCCTTGAATTTCTTTGGCTAGAAGGCAAAGTTTTGCATAAGTACACTCTTATAACTTGAACTCGAGCTTACGATGGTCTATGCCATCATCGTTTTAATCTTTTAAAAATAGCAACAATAAGCAATTAGGAGGAAAAAATATAACATTATAATATATATAAATATATTCCGTCCTAATCGAACCTCATCAGTCCAGTTTTTTGTTCGTCGATTATGTGTTCCCTTTCTCGGTCGTTTAAGAACAATTTTAGCAACAATCTCGCGGACATAGTAAGTAATTATATTTTTTCCTCCTAATCGCTTATTGTCGCTATTTTTCAAAAATAGTTTTTTAGCTCCAGACGATGATGGCTTAGACCATCGAAAGCTCGAGTTCAAGTTATAAGAGTGTACTTATGCAAAACTTTGCCTTCTAGCCACGGAAATTCAAGAATATATAATATTATATATATATATAAATATATAATAGTACCTACTTGCATTGGGCATTTACTGCATTTTATTATAAATGCAATAGTGTGTATGGTTGTATGTATGCATGTCCGTTTTTACGCCAAAATGGTTGATTTTGATGATTGTTAGCATAGGTCTATATTAGACCTGGAGACCTGTATTGATGTGGGTGAAAGTTACTATGGGGAATTACTATTCAAGTTAGAGATACAAATATGGGTTTGTATATTTGGTTTGTATATTTGGTTTGTATAACGTTTATGGACACTTACAAAGAAATTTTGGAAGTGGGAGGTGAAGGATTAATTCTCTTGAGGCTGAAGAATCTAGAATATTTCAAATTAAGTCAGCCTACAAGTAGGAGTTTGTTTTGTCTATAATTATAATATACTAATAAAAAATTCCAATAATTATGTTCTTAAAATGAGGTAGGAGGGGGTTGAATATTTCTATGGGGAACCTTATCACTTTACCAGTTGAGTTTATAGAAATTTCTCTAAAAAAAACTATTTGTGTCCTATCAACATGAAACTTAGGGAAGTACTTTATGGACAGATCATGTCAGCTAAGAACAGACTTGCATTAAGGGGGGGGGGGGTGCTAAGGGCAGATATATGTATAAAAGCATTAACCACAAAATCTTCAAAACTGTTCGCCTTATGAATATGAAATTTAGCAGGCATGACACCTCAGCTGAAATAGATTTTGCAACAAGACCAGAAAAAGGTGGATAACCAAATTTACAAGTATGTAAAGTCATTTGTTTTTTACTGGAGATAATTTTGCAGGGAGGGAGTTTATAGATGGTCGATGTCAGTTAAGAATGGATTTGGGACAGAGCCATATTATGGGGGTTACAGGGTACTCACAAGTTTGTTTGTTTTCCTTTTAGATATAATTGGCACTATTCTAAAGATATAGTAGACTTAAACTGGATTTTGTGACATGAGGGACTAGGCTAACACAGGCAAAGAGGTATTTTTTACAATGTGCAATTTGGATTAATCTAAAGTGTTCATTTCAAAATGTTGGTTATTTTAACAATTTTAAACATATGAAGTCACTGGTGTCGTATAAATAAGCTAATCAACAATGATCATAACATGCTAAAGTGTATTGTAATGGCATTAAGATTTTAACTGCTGAAGCAGCCATGGAAGTGGGTCAAATATGCTGATAATATGGTATGATAATCAAATGTGAACTAAAGTGAACTAGAAATACTGAAAAAATATATGATGTACGTACGGTTTATAGTGTATGTATAAAGTACAGTGTATCAGAGCTAAGGCCTTCAATACCGAATAGAGACCCAAGATTCTTGAGGTAGTATATTCCTCTGAAAAAAACAAAATAAATGAATATTTTTACTCCAACTATTTGGATAATCTTACCATCTATATACTGTTGTACATCGTTGATTGTTCTACTTAGAAATGATCTTTTTTCAATGTAACTTCTAACTGCTGTTCCTAGATCCATGAAGGCTACAAAGGCTATCCAGCCTCGAAAGGCATACATCATTTTCCTGTCGGACATTTTGAGCTCAAAATAATTCTGATCACAAATACAGGAATTGTAAATTTGAAGCAATTATCCAGATATGCATGTGGATATACATCATTTAACGGAATTTGTTGAAATTATCAGAAAAAGGGTTATTATTTCTTTCTGGGCATAACTTTGTTAGGTTATGTTGTTATTGTCAGATTGTCACCACAAAACATAAGGTGTATAGGTATATTCTTTAATTCACCGGTTGATTCCATCACTGATGGATCCGGTGAACTCATGGTTGACAGCTGATGTGATGACGTCAGCAACCGGTTCCGTTGAATGGTCGTTAATAAAAAGACGCGTTTCTAGCCTTCAGGTTGCTGTCATATGAGAAAACCACAGCCGACGTCAACTACGAGCCGTGATGAAAGAAAGGCAACACCGCGCTCGGACGGCATGGTAGTGCTACCTGTGAACGTCGGCCGCCAACGGCTGTGTGCTCCGTCTCCGTGTAACGTTCAAGAACTAAATTTAATTTTGGAAAAGAGGACAGTTCGATTCGATACAAATCATCTGAATATGAAATAGCTCTAAAAAATTTAAAAATACGAAATAATCGTGATATATATGAGTCGCTAATGCAGTTAACCTAATTAAAAGTATTTAGTTTACGTTTTTTGGTGTCAGCACACTGTGTTCCAACAGGCCCAGCTTGGAAATGTGGAGTTACCTGTTAATTTTTAATAAAATTTACTTTCAGTTTTACTGTTATTTTTCAATTTTACGTAATCATTCAAAATTATGTTTGAAAAAATAGTCAAAAGCTTAGATAAAATATCTGCATAAACAGATGCAAGTTAAAGAAGATTCACTGTATATAAAGTCAGGCTGAATGCTGAGCAAGGTTAACTGACACAAAATAAATTTTTGATTATTGCTTTTCAAGAAGAAAATTTCCAATCTATCTACATTAATAATAGATTCAAAAATGGCATACATATGGTAGGATATGATTGGTACATAACTGGTTGGAATTGACAGTCCTCCTCTTTGCAAATGATCAAAATAAATATTTGTTGTTAATGAACCTTTTTCTTTAACTATTAGCGATTTGCATATCTCCCAGTTTAGGTTTTTAGAGATAGCGTGTGAAGCATATCCAGATATGTCTTAGTACTATCCTCTATGTCACAATTGGCTAAGTAATTTGTCTCAAATACTTCATTGAATATATCCAAAACTTCAGGATTTTGTTTGGTATCCAAGAAATCAAAATTTTCTTGAGTTTCTAAGCAGTTTTGGAACCTTGTTTTAATTTCTGCTAAAGAAAATGATGATTTCTTTTCATTGAAAATATGCTTCAGCCGTATTTTCTTTTCAGCATTTAAAATTTCATCATATGACACATTGTAATTGCAGCCACATAAAAGTCTATAATTGCTAAATCGTTTTTCTAAATTATCAGTGGTGAATTTTCCAGGCAATACATACTCAATGTCAAATTGATTAAATGAATATTCAATTATATTAAGTAGAGTCAGCGTGCTTTGATATAGAGCTGTATACGTTTCTGGTGTCAGGTGTCCATTATTATTCTCTAGATTATGCCATTTTTCTAACCATATCAGGAATTTTTTTAAAAATTGTACTCTATAATCATATTTATTGGTAATAGGCTTACAAAATTCGTTTCGCTTCAATTCTCCTTTTATTACACTTGTATTACTGACAATATCCCACTAATTCCTGATTATTTCCAAAAAGTGTGCAGCATCATTAAACTTTAATTCTTTCATAGCAGCTATTGTTGAGTGATGGAATAAATTATCTATTATTTACATTTTGCCTTTCAAATGAATTTGGATGCAATGTTTTATAATTTAATTTATATGCTTTCTTAACTACAGCTTCTTTTTCCAATTGATATACAGCACGAATGTTTTCAAATTTAGCATACTGAATAATATCATTATTGTCAAAATTAGGATATACAAAAGTTTTGTCTAGGTTTATTAAATTAATCCAATTATTTCTGATACTCTTGAAAATATGCACAACATCATAAGTTAAATATGTTCTTATCAGGATTATGTGGATTAGGAATAGAACAATTTTCTGATGAATCCTTTGCTAATTTCCTGAACATTGCTCTATTAATTCGGCGATTATCAGTAACAACACAAATAACTTCAAATCCACATTTTTGAACTAAATTTATCACATGTTCAACCAAAGGTGTCATTTCATCACCTGTTAGATTTGAAACTAGTAGTAATTTGATAATTTCTGTTATGTTTCCAAATGCTGAAGATAGCATGAAGGCTAAAACAGTTTTAGCCATGTCATTTTTATTTGAAATTTGAAAAATACAACCAGAATTTGCACGTTTTCAATAGTTGAAATCCTTAGCGTCCTGAGGCGCGAACAGCCACAGTCTCACTTCTTAGTTTATTTTTAAAGCACAGAAGCACTACAACTGGAGTCTATTTCTCATATATTATAGTCACCGATCACTTTGAACACATACACACACTTTGAAGCTTAAAAAGCAAGCTTATCTCTTAATTACAGCCTCTGCGATTCCAAAATCACAAATTGTAAAGGTTATGTTTTCTCAGCGTTTTGAGCGACGGGAGTAACACTACCACCTACGTTGCCAGATTTCTTTGTTCACGGCTTGTAGTTGACGTCGGCTGTGAGAAAACCTAACCTTTGTTTTATCGTAAATGAATACTGATTAATTTGAACACCGTATCATTTAAAATCATTATGGAAATGTACGCAGCAGTTGGTATTGTCGTGGAACATTTGTTAAGCGATTCGAGTGATGATTCTGATGAAGAAGTTATCCAGCGGAGAGAATTTGCGCTCCGAGAATCAATATAAGAAGTATAAATCAGAAAACCAAGAAATTTTCAGATATCGACGATCTCAAATCAATACGAGGCATTGATTTGAGATCGTCGATGATTCCCGTATAAAAACCATCGATATGGATTTTCTGATAGCATTCCTGTACTCATACAGGAATAAAAACAGAACAAAATCAGAAAATCGACATTTTCGGACCTACGAGGTATTGATTTGAGATCGTCGATATGCATAATTCAAAACAAATTGACTTGCTTTCAGATGCTCTGTTTATTTCAAATTTTGTTAAAAAAAACATTAAATTTCACGCGACTCCCTGCTAACTTCAATCTTTTCTTCTTCTATTTTTTCACACAAAACTGTAGTTGTCAAAAACTGAAAAAATGCAGAGGTTAGAATATCGTGGATCAACCGAGCCCGAACGTCGGTGGATGCTGTTGGGTTGGTACCGGTGGCATATCCACCATCAATATAGAGACAAGTTTGATGTACAACCGGTCGTTCCAGCGGAAATTAAAGGACGCAAAATTGGCTAACCGGTTGCACCGGTAGCTCAACCGCTGAATTAAAGGATATACCTATATTTCACCAGTAACCACCACGCTTTGACGTCTACTGAGGTGAACGGCACGAATAGAGGTGCTTTCCAGTGCCTCGTTTGGGTAACTCGGAGCTACACCCGTCAATACCGTTTCAGTGCTCTAGAATGTCATGCACCTGAGCTACTCATTTTTGAAATCACCTGCCCCCTCTCCCCCTCATGCACTAGCTTTTTATTCAGTGTTATACTCTCCGATACAGAGGGAATACCGAAAATGACAATGTGTCAAGATTATTGGGTTATATATTTTCCTCGCTTTTTTTGCATCAAATTCATTTTAAATTAATACAAGACAATGGAGGACGGTAAAAAACTGATAATGTTATGACCCAGAGTCACAACGTACATTTGAGATGTTCTTGAATGATGAAGATCACAAGAGAGTGCAAGAAAGGTGCATAGCGGCTTGTAGTTGGTTTCATCTATAGCTAGACACTTTGAAAATAATTTTGAATGTCTACACTAAAATATGAATTCGACACATTTATGCAGACGCTTTACAATAAAAATGCATAAAACTCTCAATTCAAAAGCACTGGAGCGGCTAATAACCTAGAAGTCGATGCCGGTGTGGGTTTAAAAAAAACACTGGAAAGCGGCTCTGGTAAAGGTGGAAACGTCAATTTTTGTTTCAGGAGAGGTTTCGGAACTCTGCTCTTTAGAAAAAATGGTTGTTCTGTGCTCCACATGGTCTGCACCTAACCTCTTTTCAGCGATAGCTGTCATAAATTTGTTTTGATCAAGGATTTTGTGTTTTTCCCTGATTTTTCCTTGTAATACAAGATATGGCAATTGATAAACCAATAGCACATAGACCGGGAGCCTTCAAGCAAACAAACAAAGAACATAAACATGGAAGACATCGTTCAAAAGGCTCCATAAGCCTGGCTGCTAAAGGTAAAGTTTTTGGTGCATACAGGCATACACTGATTTCCGCGTTTTTTAGGTAAAATATCTATTAAAACGATTTCTAAGAAACTTAAAAAGGACCTGAATAAAGATCAGAGACGCAACCAAGCGATCCAGTTAAGGAAGAAAAAGAGAGATGAACTCTTGGCTAAGAAGCGATCCCTAGGTGGCACAGACTATGCCCCCTTCTTGGTATGCATAATACCATTGAGCAAGGATATTTACCCAGACACTGCAGTGGCTATACTTGAGCAGTGTGATGAAGAGGCTGTTGTTAGTAAAAGCCCCTTAGGCTCAACACACATTAGGTAATTTTATACAAAATCAAGCAGTGTAGATTAAATTTCAGAATCACTTTTTGGTAACTAAAAGTATAGCATGTCAGTTAGAATATAATCAGTATTTCAGACTAGTTGAATAAACATTATTACTCTGTTAATACAGAGTATACATTTTTCCAATTTAATTTCTTTATGATTTTGGTTTTATGTTTTGCAGTGTCCCAAGGTTTAAGCAAAGATTTGAATTTATTACCCCACCTGCTGGAGATGATTTTGCTGTACTTGATACTCTGAAAATAGCAGATACTGTTGTGTTCTTAATATCAGCTGCAAAAGGACTGGAGGAAAATGAAGACTTGGTAGACAGATGGGGTAATAATATACTTTTGTCATCATTTGCTCAAGGATTGCCAACACCAGTTGTTGTGATCAGTGATCTGGAGAGTATAGCACCCAAAAAAAGGCAGGAACATAAACAGGTATATAAAAATTATGAAATTGTGATTTCATTTAATTAATCATTTCCATGATATGTTCAAAATTCATAACAATATCTGGTGAGGATCCTTAAAGATGTAAACAGGTGTATTAATGTAATATTTATTTATTTATTTGCTTAAAGTATCACAAAACACCCTAGAGTAATTAGAATGCGAGACAACTTAAAACTAGAGTAAAACAACGCGAGGCAACAATGAAATATAACTTTTAAATGAGCCAAGACTAGAACTGAAAAACTATAAAAAAATTAAGAAAAAGTTATCACATTTATGATACGATACAAATCAGTTTCAATAAAAACTTATACTGTGGTTGTCTCACGGATCAATCTCAATGTTCTATTGGGCACATCTTGACTGGAATGTCAGTAAACTTTTACTTTTTCATCTGTGGTTTTATTTGTAGTCAGTAGATCATATTTATTTTAAAATATAGAATTGTAGTTTCATCATAACTTATTAATTTTTCGAGATAGTCATAAGAAATTTGGGCATATGAAGCATAGTGGGTTTGTTGAGAGAATCTTTGAATTGCTTTTATTGTTTGTAATAAATGTAACATCTTGTGTTTTTTTGAGATATAAACAAGAATTTTGTAAATACACAAAAGACAACGGATTAATGCAAGGGACTATTTTCTTAAAATAAAAAATATATAGCAAATATTTAGTTTTCTGTGAGAGAGAATATTTTGAAACATGTTTGATACTTGTCTCTATAGTTGAATGAAAAGTAAATTTTGCAAGAAGCAGAATTAAAATTTTCGTCATTCTTCTAGAATATACAAAAACTAGTCAACAAATGGCTACCAGATGAAAAAGTGATGACATTAGACAAGAATGCGGATGGTGTCAACCTTCTAAGAAGAATAGGCAATCAAAAAGGAAATCTGTTCTGTATAGAGACAGAAGGCCACACTTGATAGCTGAGACAGTTGAATATGTCTCTCATAGTGAAGGTGCATTGGGAACCTTGAAAGTAACAGGGTATTTGAGAGGCGCCACTTTATCTGTGAACCAACTGGTGCATATACCAGGACTAGGTGATTACCAAATGGTGCAGATTGATGCACCTACTGATCCCTATAAAGTAGAAAAGAACAAGTAAGTATCATAGTAAGTACAGAAAAGATTTATTCTATATCACAATTCAGTACATATTATTTTGAAACCAATTTATTAGATAGATATTTTAATTTTGTTATTTTAAAATGTTGTTGTGGATCCATCATATTTTTTTATTCCATCATACTATCTTAAATGCCTATCTTTGATATACTTTACGTGCTCACATAACAGGGTAATTTTTAAAATACCAAGTTTTGATTTGATTGTAGATAAACACACCCAACATAAACAAAATAACGAAACTACTATCTATAACGTCACTTTAATAACAAAGTATTAATTTTCAACATTAACTCCTCATATTTAATTCAAACGCCACGCTCAAATGAGATATTATGTTTTTTGGAGCTTATATGATCACAAAAAACCATGTCACTCATTTCCATTAGTATTTCTGCACTCAGATTTGGATGAAATTTTCACACGATGTTATTAATATGTCAAGGACGAAGAAAATTCTGAAAATCTAAACATTGGCGTCGGAGAAAAAGGCGAAAAACAAAAAAAAGTGAAAATAGCATAAACTAAAATTTAGGGGCGAAGAAATAGGGGGGTTGTAGGCGACGAGGGAGGGTATATCTCAGTTTGTTGATATTACCATATTCAAACATATCCAACTCCGGTAATTCTGCACACATATTCAACATATACATATACATTATAATTCTGTTCTGTTTTCAGAAATAAATCAGAAAATGCAATGGATTCTGACCAAATCGTGATAAGGCTTCTTGAAAAATGTGATCCCTCAAAACAGGAATCACTAGACTCAGAAAATGTTCCTGATCCCATGGATGCTGAGCAAACCTGGCCTACAAGTGAAGAAATTGAAATGGCTGAAAAAGAACAAAAGGTAACAAATTGTGTCAAGACTCTCTACTCAGTATAACGTAAATTTACGTTAACACGTGCAGCTCCCTGGGCGGGGGTGACACCAACCCTAAATAAATGGAAAGGAGGGTCGAGTGATACCTTATTTTAAAGGTCTTTCAATTCTCTTTATAATGATGTAAAATACATAGGTACATGAGATTAGTTTGTACATAGTTTGCGATTGATTTGACCAAACTTTGTTGTTAAAATAACTTGTAATGCTTCATTACATAAATTAACTATGGTATATTCCACAGCAGAAAGAGTTGAAATTATCGAAATATTTTTCGGAAATAATCAGTGCGCTACTAGAACAGCAGAAATATTTAATGAGCGACATGAGAACAGTAACATGCATCGAAAATATGTTCTAGAACTCGAAACTAAATTTCGGGAATCTGGGTCGGTCGCCAATAAAAAACGCAACATTGAAAATCCCATAAGGAACGAAGCAAGTGGGGGTTCCAGTACCCGCAAATTGGAGAACTTAATGAAGACGATTTTGATCGGCGATTACAATTTTGTGAAGATATGAGTGAACGAATTATAAACGATGAACATTTTCTATTCAACACTTGCTTTTCCGACGAATGTTCCTTTTTCTTAAATGGCGTAGTAAATCGTCATAACTGCCGATATTGGTCCGATTCTAATCCCAGAATTTATCATGAGGTTCATACACAGCAGCCACAAAAATTAAATGTTTGGGCTGGTATTTTTGGCGAAAATTTAGTTGGTCCTTTTTTCTTACCTGGAAATTTGACCGGTGAAATGTATTTGGAATTACTGGAAGACGCCATAGATCCTGCATTAACAGCCATAATTGAAAATCAGAATGATCGGCGGTACACTGCGAATATGTTGATGTTCCAACAGGATGGTGCCCCACCACATTACGCATTACGTGTTCGACAATATTTAGATCAGACGTTTCCAGATCGATGGATTGGTAGAAGAGGTGCCATTGAATGGCCTCCAAGATCGCCAGATTTATCACCTTTGGATTTCTTTATGTGGGGTTATTTAAAAAGCAAAATCTATGCTACTCAGCTAACATCATTGGAAGATCTGCGACAAAGAATTGTGAATGAGTGCCTTCAAATTGCTCCTCAAATATTGCAAAATGTGCGCCAACGTTTTGAGCAAAATCTTTATTATTGCATGGAGAGTCATGGTGGCCATTTTACTTGCCTAACGGGTCAGTTCATTCTTCATTTTTAAATTACTTTGCTGCCAAATGTATTGATCTCCACTAATGATGATGTATTAGTTTTATTTAAGCTTTAAATCAATAAATCTTCAAAACTACTGAACTGAAGTACATTAATTTTATATCATTATAAAAGGAATTGAAAGACCTTTAAAATAAGGTATCACTCGACCCCCCTTTCCATTTAAGTTTTTGGGGGTGGTGTCACTGAGCTGGCAGTAAATGCGTCTGTTTTGTTTTCGATGCGCCACCTTGTGTATATATATATAGTTTGGGCTTTCCTCTTCAGAAACTGCATTTGAAATAACAGAGTTAATATGCGATAAGCAATAGCGAAAAAGTAAACAAAAGAAAATCGAGAAACTTCAAGTTTACACGTTGCTTATAAAAATTGTTGTTCTGTTAATTTCTGCCTAAATTTGCAGCGTTCAGGGCTATCGAGGTCTCCTACTGTGCCCACCTTGACGTTGCCACGAACAACTCGGAGGCAGATAGGCAGATTTTTTTCGGAACCTAATAACTTGGTTAAATTATTATTGAAGCTTTATTTATTTATTTCCTCTCGAGAAAAACATTATATAGGAAGAGTCATACATTTTCAACTTGAATCTAAAAAACCAGTATCTAACAAAAAACCGCCATATAGTAAAAAATAAGATTTAACGGCATATATCACAATATTCTTCCACAGTATAAAAGCTATTTTCAATTAAATAGTCCTTTAAGATATTCTTAAGTGCCTTTAGATTGTGGCAATTCTTTATTTCCACAGGCTTTAGGTTAAAACTTCCTTAGACCATTAATCTTTGGGGACTGACACATAATTTGAGTTCTATAGGGTGGTAAATATTCTTCACTAATCCTCGTATGAATTGAATGCATTTGGTGTGTGTGTTACTTGAAAAATCTGACAATTTTTGCAAGAAATTTCAGGAACATCCTGTATTTGTTTAGGCGAGATTTTCAGCTTCAAGCAGTACTGTAATGCTACATACACTATGTTTCTAAGGATCTTTGTGGTTCAATTTACCTCCGCTTAGAACTAAAATCTGAAAGAGTTTTTGCAAATTGGTATTGATCAACATATTCCACCGGATGATACCCAATTCAATTAAAAGCCTTGCCTGCATGAAGACAAGCATAGGCACTGTGGCGTCACCAACCATCGAGGCCTGGTTTTTCAATCGGTTAACTGTAACTTTACTGCAGACTGGCAACTCCCAAAAAACGTTTTTCAATGACAAGTTTACCCTTTAGTGGTAGATAACTTAACTACAGGTCCATCTGTGGATTAACTAGAAAGTTGTAGTTAAACTGCAATGCCTCCGCTCATTTTGCTCGACAGTGACATGGATTACCTCGGATGACACGAGACACAAATTCGGAGCATCACGAAACGCACTGAACTCTATAAATCAGATAAAAAGCAGCGTTACCATATCAACGATTATGGGTTAGCTAGCCATCACGTGAAATACGAAATTTACGGATTTCTGGTAGTTAACTTCCAAGTTCTAAGAACCCAACCTGAAAGTTAACCTGTGATTGAAAAACTGGTCTTAAGGCCCGGTTTCTCAATCGTAAGTTCACTGCAACTTGATTGCTAGTTAGTTATGCTCAAAACTTAACTTTCAAAAAGCGTTCGTTGTTGTGGATAACACAAGACACAAATAATGAACATCACAAAATGCAAAGAGCAAACAGTTTATATATATACGTATGACTAATTAATTCACTTGTTTATTAAATACTTAATCATTGTTTTTTATCTCCTGTCCCGTCTATATCTTGGAAATTACGGGTCGGATTTTGATGAAATTTTTGCACATGGCAGCTACTATGCCAAGGACGAAAAAGCTTTGTAGATCGGTCCAGTGGAGGCGATGAACAAGGCCAAAAACGAAAAAAAAATCGCTCATACGTTTTTTGACGCTTTGGCTAATCCTGATTATTTAAACATCTTGAATAATAAATATTGCGAGTGGGGAGGGTGTATCGTGATATTTTGAATTTGGTATACTCGTATTAATATACTTTTGATAATTATACGCACCTATTAGTCATATTTCACACATTGTAGATTGCCCCGTGCATTTGTCCTCAAAACTTGAAACTAGAACGATAGAAAAATGGTTCCGACAAGCGACCCTGCGACTGCTGACTCCAATGGTGTTCCTATGTGTACTGCATGATTGGTACTCTATGAGCGCTGTGTCTCGTGTGGCGCATCATGCTTCCAGATATTGGAGAAAGGCGACGCGACGTTGCAAGATGAACGATACCGCGGGTAATGCAGGGAAAGGATGTTATGGACCTATTTGACAGATTTATCCGTTTTCATAGAGTCTAACTTAAACGTGCTGCTTGTCGTCCGTCCAACCACAGACAGGTGTTTCGTGCTTTTTTGGCAACCTATCAGCATGGTGTGGGCTTGGACTCTGGGTCAACAAATGAAAGCATACCAACTATCCTCTATCCAGAATATAAGGTCTTCGGTCTTATTTCGATAGGGTCTAACTTGTCCGGAACATAATCCTTGAACTGATGACGGCGTTTCGTAGGAAGTGTAGCGTCAACATACTTAGGACGCCATTTTTTTCTCATTACAGACGAAGTTAGTAAAGAAGGTTCCTAAAGGCTGGTCAGACTACCAAGCGGCTTGGATTCCCGACGACCCTGAGTTTTTCGAAGAAGATTCTGACGAAGAAAGTGAAGAGGGCATGGAAGAAGCAATGTCAGAGGATAAATCAGAGAACTCCGACCAAGACCAAGATGCTGATGAGTTTCAGACTGCGGTAGATTCGGAAGTCGCAATTAGCGATGAGAAATATGACAAGGAGATGGACATGGAAGCTGAAAAACGAGAGTTGGAGAAGTTGAAGGCTGCAAAGAGTGACAGGCAGTTTCCTGATGAAGTCGACACGCCCATGGATCAGCCTGCAAGGATACGGTTTCAAAAGTACAGAGGGTTGGAAAGTTTCAGGTATTGTTGTTTCTAGTTTAAGGTTTTGGAATTATTTTCTCTAGATGTTATGACATTTTATTGTGAGTATATGTTTTCAGGACATCTCCATGGGATCCCAAAGAAAACTTACCTAGTGACTATTCAAGAATTTTTCAGTTTGAAAATTTCGATAGGACTAGGAAAAGAGTGTTGGCGGAACAGGAAGATAAGGAAGGTGCACTGGTAAGTTTATATTCATAGATGATAGAAATGTTTTGTACATGTCATCCTTGAAGGTTCACATTTTCAGTCTTTTAGTGGAGAGAGCGCCCTAATGCGGAACCCCCTTTGTTGCAGTCAAGCAGTTTGTCTGCATACTTCCCACTGTCATCGATTAGATTTTGTTGACTTTATTTCTAGACCTATGTCATCTGACCTACGATTTAAAAGAAATCAATCAAAGCAATTGCGTGTTATTATCGTTGACTCACTTGACACAAAGTTTATTCCAAAAGACCCCAATGAAATCTAAACCTGACTAGGTAAAGTTTCAATTTTTTTAATAGGTGCATAGTACTTCGGAGATCTGTAGCTTGTTAGTAAGATAGAACGTCTTTCGCTGATACCAAAGATGCAACAGTTTTCTGTAAAAGGGCAGTAGTCTTTTTTATGTTTTGCCCGTAGCTCGACCGCCACTGGATCGTTTTTCAAAACCTGCAAACTTTAAGTTTAACTCCTGAATATGAATGATAAACTGAAAAAAGAAACGCAATTTTACCTCGAAGAACAAAATATAGTCACATAATTGTCAAATCTATTTGAAGAATGCCACGGTGATGGTCAAAAATGGCGTACAATACACAGAAATTTAAAGGCAATGGAGTCATACAAACCTTTTTCATCTTTAGCATAGTAGTAGCGTTGTGTCAAAATTTCTTCAAAATCCGAGCGGTACTTCGCAAATTATAAGATGATTGACGAAGATCAGCGGACAGATACACCGACGAAAATGGGTGGCATTGGTTGCGATTACAATATTTCCTCGCCAGCTGCCGTGGCAAGTAAAAATATGAAAACAGCTAAACGTCTCTTACTCAGTTTACTTTGTAGTTTAACCCATTAACGCCCGCTGCACTCAAGCGAGTACACTCGTGTTTGTTCCTACCAGGCCATCTCTGAGTCAACCACAGAAGTACTGCCTCTTATAAACATTTGTAGATAGTACATGCCTCAGGGCGCAAGAGCCATTTTTCATAAGTTCTGTGAGTGTGTCGTCGTTTACAGTGATAGAAGTTATTGCTTATTTGATCTAAGGTAAGTTCGGATTTTACATAATTTTTTCTTATTGAGATGACCATCTAATAAACATAATCTTTTTATATTATGTATATGTAAAGGTTATTTGTTTGATTTGCCGGGCATAAATTATTTTAACTGATTTGATGTAATTAGAATGTATGTTCAAGTTTGACTGTACTCAAATCAGTACATGGGGCAAATTCGTTATAAGTCGACTAATGCTATTTTTTTGTTTTAGATATATATAAACCGTTTTTTGATGATCCTGTTAAAACATACGAGTATTACAATTTTATGCCTGATGCTCGACATGATTTAAAAGATAACGATGATGGTGTGGTCTTGCCTCCAGACGCGCGTTATTTGACTGCCGAGGAGGAATTGGACGAAAAGCAACTGATGGCAAATGGAATGCCACAAGATGTTTCTGGTCGTTTATAGCTGTTTCGCCAAAGTTCAGCTAATGACGAGTTCTGAAGCAGCGACGAAGAGCATTTGAGTGAAGTGCGAAAACGTATACAAATACCTAAATAAATCTAAACACGATGAATTGGACTGGGAGAAATGCAATCCTGAATATTTCATTTGGTGTGAGCCGCCACCGTTATGTGAAATGAATGCCAATAGAGATAAACTAGTGGAAAATATAAAGGATTTTAATCCAGTACAACTATTTGAATTTTTCTTTGATGATACCGTTTTGCGGCATATTGTCGATCAGTCCATGTTATATGCATCTCAAAATACTCGACACCAAAGAAGAAATGAAATCCTTCATAAATTCTGACATTTTCCTGCGAAGTTAGAAAAGCAATTACGATTGTACAGTATGCCATTCAAGGGTCTGTCAACACTACGTATTAAACGTACCTCCTTCAAGTTACATCATACAAAATAAACGGTTTCGCCCATTGTACTCAAATGAGTAAAAATAATAAAATATATATGGTTTTATGATCTTCAGTTTTTATTTTAGTCCTAATAACCTACCTTATATGCATAATATCCGTTTTCCATGTTCAAGTTTAATTTGGGCGTTATTGGGTTAAGTATCATTTACTATACACGTTCATTTTTAATGAAAAATTATTATTAATATATAGTTTCCAGAAACCGTACACGCAGCTGAGTAAGGGTAAAGAATATATTTGAAACAGATTCTTAGTTTTAGTTCCTTGGCGATGAAAATCAGATATGTATATTTCTGTTTCTGCTCCCCTGCCTTCATCCATCTCAGGGCCTTATTCTGAAAGGCATCAGTAGCGTTAGCCATTCGAGATGGACTCAGTTTCCTTTTATCAGATTTTCAGTTTATCGAAGGAAAGGGATTTCATAAGAATAGTGGTGTTGATATGAGGAGACGTTAGATGTGATAATCAGAGAAAGAGGTCCGGGACTAAAGAACTAAAAGCAAAAACTTTTTATTTGACAAAGTTTCAATCAAGCATCTAAATGGCATAATTCCGTGTCAAATGAATAATGAAGTGACGTGAACTACATGTACACTCCACTACGGAGTGGTGGATGTTTAAGTCATTATTTCCAGTTGTCAATAATTGAGTTTTAGATGGTGCAGATAATGATACCAGAACCGGTCCGGTTTTGAGCACTTTCTTCTTTTTATGATAACTTATATTTATGTGCGTTTGGTCACAATTTATTTAAGTCTGAAATTTTTATATGTTCATTGATGTAATGGGTGATTCATTTTTAGGTACTTTTTTCAGCAACAAAATAAAATAACAAAATTCTTTTTTCTTGTCAAATCTTTTTTATTAAAGAAAAGAACTATTTTTGACATTTATTTTTTAAATATTATTTCTTTCAAATGTTGGCCCTGACTGCAGTTGAGATGGTCCATTCTAGAGTTCCAATTTTCGATGACACGTTAGAGCATTTCGACTGGAATTTGGCGAATGACCTGCGTAATGTTGGCTGCTAATTCCTCAATCGTATTGGGCTTATCAATGTAGACTTTGGAATTAACGTAGCCCCAAAGGAAAAAGTCTAGAGGTGTGATATCACATGATCTAGGTGGCCAATTCACTGGTCCAAATCGTGAAATTAAGTGTTCATTGAAATGTTCTCGCAATAAAGCCATGGTTGCACGGGCTGTGTGGCAAGTGCCGCCGTCTTGTTGGAACCAAATGTCATCGAGATTACGGGCTTCAATTTCAGGCAGCAAATAATCCGTTATCATTGCGCGGTAACGAGCACCATTCACAGTTACGTTCTGACCGCCCTCATTTTTAAAAAAATAGGGACCGATGATTCCACCGATCCATAAACCACACCAAACCATTGTTTTCGCTGGATGTAGTGGCAGCTCTTGAACAACTTCGGGTTGTTCTTCACCCCAAATACGACAGTTTTGTTTATTAACGTAGCCGTTAAGCCAAAAATGGGCCTCATCGCTAAACAAAATTTTGCTCGAAAACATCGGATCTTCTTCAAGCCGTGCTTCAATTCTTGAACGAGTTGAATTTTGTATGGTTTCAGATTAAGATTCTTACGTAAAATACGCCAAGTTGTTGAATACGACAAGCCAAGCCGTTGAAAACGTCTCCGAATCGATTCTTCACGGTCCTCACGTATACTCTCGGCTACCGCAGCTATATTTTCTTCACTGAGTGCTGGATGTGGTCTATTTGGTCGGGTAGTATCCAGTAATGAAAATTGTGTTTAAAATTTTTCGACCGTTCGGCGAATTGTGCGTTCGGTGGGCCGATTATGTACACCATAAGTTGCTCTAAGTGCACGAAACACACTTCTCGCAGAACGTTGATTTTCGTAGAACAGTTGAATAATTTGTAGACGCTGTGCTGGACTAAGTCTTTCCATGATGAAATGTTGAACAATACTGAAACAGAAAATGTCAAATTAGTTGTCATGACGCATGCGCCATAAGCAATTACAGCCACACCAAAAAGTACATCTAAATGAATCACCCGTTTCTTTTTTGCATATTTGAATAAAATCGGCCGTTTTGTTCCTGAGACAATCCCATTAAAATTCACATGGATTTTTATGTAAATCCTGGTATTCGACTGTATTGTTTCAATTTTGTACCGGAAACTTTATGGAGATGTTTGAAAGACTGATCTTTTGAAACTTGACGGTCATTAGTGTTTCCTCAAGATTTTAAAACTACTGTTTTTAATTTTATACTATTTAATTATTTTTCAGCCTGGGTGGTATATCACGATCCATTTGAAAGATGTATCACAGTTGCAATGGTCTGCATTCAAGTCCACAAACAAACCTTTGGTGGTCATCGGAATGTTCCCACACGAACACAAAATGTCTGTGTTGAATGTGGTATTGAAGAGGACTAACAATTTCACAGCTCCAATAAAGTCGAAAGAAAGATTGATCTTTCAGTGTGGATACCGCAGATTTACTGTGAACCCTGTTTTTAGCAGTCATACTAATGGACAAAAGCATAAGGTAAGACTTAGAATATATGATTTATACCCTATATACCTACACTTTGAAACTTATTAACGTGAAACTGAACTCAAAAACCTTGTACCTTTTGTCATCCTAGTAATGAAAAAGTATTTTATGGTATAAATGGAACATTTCTACATTCTTAATTGGGAAAGTGTTACAGGTAGTAAAAACTTGAGCATTACTTTTTGTGATTACATTTTTGCATATAATAGTGATGATTCAATTTTTCTGTTTAAGTTTGAAAGATACTTCCAACCAGACTCAACGGCCGTAGCTACCTTTTATGCCCCTATACAGTTTCCTCCAGCTCCAGTACTTTGCTACAAAGAAGTATTTGGGACACTGGTACTAGTGGCAACTGGAAGCCTTCTGTCATGCAATCCAGATAGATTGGTCATCAAAAGGATTGTTTTATCAGGTATTTTTGAGACAGCTTATTTTTTCATCTACTTATAATAAGCATATACGTCATCTATTACTTTTTTTCTATTTGAAAAATCAACACGCTTTTTACGAGGTGAAATCGAATTTTTTTATTGACAAATGAAGGTTGGTTTATGCCATTTATGTATGAAAAATAACATCAGGCATGTGACCACCGCGGCTTCGTTTACAGGCCAATATCCGAACATCAAAATTTTCAATGACTTTTCCCAGAATAATCGGGTCTATGGCCGCAATTTCAGTCCGAATATTGCGCTTTAGGTCTTGAATTGTCCGGGGACCATTCGCATACACTTTTCCTTTCAAAAATCCCCAAAGAAAATAGTCAAGAAGTGTTAAATCGCACGATCTCGGAGACCAACTGACATCTGAATTTCGTGAAATTATGCGGTCTTGAAATTTCGTGTGCAATAAGGCGATTGTTTGGCGAGATGTGTGAGTCGTTGCTCGGTCTTGATGAAACCAAAGATCGACGGCACCAATACGATCCAATTGTGGCCACAAAAGTTCTTTTAACATGCCGCGATAACGTTCCCCTTTTCTTCAGCATCTTCAAAGAAGAATGGTCCAACGATGCCACCAGCCCATAATCCGCACCAAACAGTCACTTATTCAGGATAGAGGGGTTGTTCATGATGTTGGTGTGGATTTTCAGCCCCCCAGAATCTGCAATTTTGCTTATTTACGTAGCTATTGAGGTGAAAATGAGCCTCATCAGAAAATAGCACTTTCGCCGAAAATCCGTCTTCTCTTTCCAACATCCACTTAACAAAAACACGCCGCTGTTGATGATCTGCCGACTTTAATTCTTGTGTTAGTTGGATTTTGTATGGATGGAGGTGTAAATCAATGTGTAAAATCCGGCGTAAAGTGGTCTCACTAATTCCCAATTGTCGCGAACGGTGCCTAGTCGAGGTGGTTGGATCTTCTCGCACACTTTCACTCACTGCGGCTATGTTTTCACGAGTACGAGCTGGATGGGCATGTTGGTATGGTCTATGACCTTCAGCTGAACCAGTTACCTCAAAACGATTAACAATCCAACGAATCCCAGGCTCTGTAGGGCGTCCATGTCGGCCAAAAGTAGTGCGGAGTTTGCGAAAAGTATTTTTTATATTTCGACCGTTTTCGTAATAAGTTTGGATAACCAAAATGCGTTGTTGTGTTGTAAACGAATCCATGACTATAAATTGCATAGCTTTGATAGTTCATTTATGCATACCACATGACCTTTGACTCACATGGTAACACATAAACTTATAGGTAAAAAAAAAGTAATAGATGGCGCACCCAGTACATAGGTCATGTTTCACCTTGTCACTTGATATAACAAAGAACTTATCCCGTGGTTTTCTTGCTAATAAAACTCCATGTTTCACTGGCCGTTAAATGAAACCACTTGTAGCAGTGACTCTTAACTAATATTTTGGTCTAAACTGAAAAGTTCTAGCATATGAAGCATGCTTCCGAATGGTCCTATAATTCCCTTTTAATTGCAAAGTTTTTGAATATGCAACCTTATTATATGACCATATTTCTAATCCTTTTTTTGCAAAACAATTTATTTCCAGGACATCCAATGAAAATCCATAAAAAATCTGCAGTGATCAGGTTCATGTTCTTCAATAGAGAAGATATCGTGTATTTTAAACCAGTCAAACTAAGGACCAAAATGGGGAGAACTGGACATATTAAAGAACCTTTAGGTAACAATCATTTTGTTTAACATTTTAGCGTAAAATTTATCAGTGCTGAGGAAATATATTAGTGTAGCATTTCCTTAGTGACTTCGCGCAAACATAATAGCTAAGTATTTGTTTATGGTTTTGTCAGTTTTTATTCTTTTACTTAAATCAATATGCTTTTGAAACGGACTTCTAGAATTTATGGTGATGCGTTTGATTCCAGGTACTCATGGCCACATGAAATGTGTTTTCGACGGTCAACTAAAATCCATGGACACAGTGCTACTAAATCTATACAAAAGGGTGTTTCCCAAGTGGACATATGAGGACCTTCTTGTGAACTGTGACAATAATGAGGGTAGCATGGAAACATAGAATTAGGAATGTTCATTTTCTGCATAATAGACTTATGCAACGCAACTGATCCTTTTTATTTTATGTTTTTGAATGTTAAATTAATAAAACAATATAAGAATCTAAGGACTTTTTGACTCTGGGCAATGCAGTGGTAAAAAAATGGCGTCAGGTAAGTTGGGCGACATTAAGGCAAGGCTTAAAAGCAGTTGGTTTGCTACTTTTCTACTCGTAACAGCTGAAGAACGGAGGGTTGATTTCCTGATAATAGGCCCCTTACAGGACTACCCACACCACTCATGTGAAAAACGCTTTTACGAGTTAAGAACATTGAAGTCTCGCTATGGTGATATACAAATAGAAAAATTCTGTGAAAATGATGATTTAGAAATAGATGAAATTCCACACAAGATTTGCCATTTAGAATCGTCCAGTGCATCTCTTCTACATTGTGTACTATGATAAGTAATATCATAAGGGCATCTAATTTTTCCGAAAAAAATCTAAAAAACACGTTGCTAAGCAATATTTTAACAAGAAGCATGACTGCTGGTGGCATCCCGCACGAATGTTTTTTGTTAAAAATTTATTACTTTGCATTCTGTTTTTTCGATTTTTTCACAGGAAAAATTAGATGCCCGAATGGTATTTGACAGGACTAGTTCATGAGTATTCTGAGTACCTACACATAACTTACAAAACATACTATTTACCTATTACCTGCAAATTATTTCGTTTCACATTACGAGCTTTATTACTAGACTTAAAGATAATATCTTTAAATGGATCAAAAATTATTTTCCTCTTCATAAAATACATCTCTTACATTTTTTTGCAACGGTATTCCACAACTAGTTCTTTGTAATTTTCACCGTTTTCTGTCTTCATATTCAATCGCCAGATCAATATTAGTCAAAGAAGCACTTCCAAAGCGACTCATTTTCACTACATAAGCATAGCACTGTTTAAAAACAATATTACAAAATTTGTTGACAATAAAAAACTGGTTTATCGTCGTTTTCTGGTGTCCTAGGAGACCATAATTAATTGTTATCAAAGGTATTGTAATCACCATGGGAAAGCTCTGCTAAGTATCTCGGTGTCACTCTTGACAAGGGGATGACCTGGCAGAAGCACACTGAAGCGTTAAAAACTAAATTCCAAATCTCGTTTCGGCAACTCTACCCTATGCTATGTAGAACATCGAAATTAAGTTTCATCGACAAAGTTCGGCTATACAAGATGGTTATTAGACCAGCGATCACTTACGCAAGTCCGGCTTAGTGTTTTCTCGCCAAAACGCATTTGCGTAGCCTGCAGGTTTTGCAGAACAGAACCTTGCATACAATCACTAACGCCCCATGGTATGTTTCCAACGAGACCCTTCACAGAGACCTTTACATCTCTTACCTAAGGGACTACATCGAACAACAAGCGCAGCTACGTTATAGTCAAGCGGAATCACATAGCAACTCTTTATGTCCAACCAAAATTATAATTTTTCTTCAACAACCAATCCCAAAATTAATTTTAAGGAGCAATTTAAAATTGACGAATATTAATTAGCAATCCCCTCAAATTGACGCACTTCTTTTTTCTTTGCTCTCCCTCCTTCCTTCCTTTCTTCTTCCCTTCTTTCTCCCTGACTTTGTTTGGTATCTGGGCAACCAGACCTGACAGACCTACTGACTTACAAGGCTTTAACCAAGAGCAAAGGTCCTACGGACAGTCAATGACGCATAGAAGAAGGTATTGTAATTTTTGGTGACAACAGCTGTCAAGTTTTGCCGCGGGTAAACTCGAAAAAACCGCTGATAGGTGCTTGCATACAATTTTTGCGTCTAGAAACCATTTGTTATTCAAAATTGCGCGTTTGTGATAGGTAGAAATTAAGACGAAGGAAATAGTCTGGTAAATATAATATAAGTAACCTCTCCTTGGCAAACCCAAGGTGTGATGCGTTTCCGTGCGAAGGTGTGCGTGGCGGTGGGGATGCATCATCTTGAACTCAGGAATACCGGGCGACCTCCCAGAGTATCTAGCCTTGAGTGCATGCAGGGAGCACCGCGGACATCGACCAACACGTCCTCCATTCTCGTGGGAACAACATGAACCACAACGATCAAAATAAAAATCCCGATGTCCCTCCAACAGGAGATTTCGAACATCCGGGTGGCCCCTCACCAGGGAACCTCGAACATTTGAGCGGCCGCACACCAGGGGACTGCGAATATCGGGACGGCCCCTCACCCGGGAACCCCGAACATCCGTGCGGCCATCGTACTTTGACAAAGACCTGGTTAGAGGGCTTGCTGAAAATTGGAGCACCATCCCCTGCGCATTGTCAGTGCAGGACGGTGCACTCTCCGGTGAGTCATCGGAGCCCGAAAGCGGCCTGGGCGACGGAAAGCGGCAGAGGTCTGCCAGTGGGACGCCGGTAGGCGGGTAGGCGCATCTTCGCGGAAAAAGCCTCGTAGTGCGGCACATGCTTATAGCTATGCGTGTGCTTTTCAAGTGAGTCTCACTATAGATTGTCTCCCATGGCTATCCCGCGACTCAATTTACCGAGGTACAGGACCAGCAGGTGCAGGAAGCATTCAGTGTGCTGATATATGGGCTCCCAGATTAGGTAGCCCTTTCGAGGTACATTGACTGTTACCTCTCTCGAGGGGCAGCCATCTTTGTCTGCGAGAACGAGTCCTCGAAGGCATGCTTGGAGGACCACATATGGGATCTGAGATCGTGGGAAGGTGCTAGGCTCACTATGAGTTTTGGTGTCCTTCCTGTTTACCACCACGTGATGGCCTGGTTCCCAGGTCCACCTTTGAGGAACGGGGTCATCATGAAGAGGATACCACCATGGTACACATCCCAGCGCGTGGAGGCTATTAGAGAGGAAGGAGGAACCTAAGGAGTTCCGAGTTTTTCTCTCGGTGGATTCCATAAGCTGGAAGATAATCGAGAAGAATGTGGGGGGGCTCACATTCCTGAGTAAAAAGAAACAGACGGCTATCGGAACGACACCTGGCGGAGTAGGTCAGGCACCTAATCAAGGGTCTGACCATGGGCAATCTGGACAGACGGGTGCTGCTGCGGTGGGCCAGGCCACTTCACAGGGGAGACAGGGACAGGGCAGCTCTCACTGGAACTTCTGACTGTTATTGGTATATCCGCAGGAAACATCGGGGCAGGCCTGGTAGGAGTACGTGCCTCAGAGGGCGACGAAGGCGACTCGGACGCGGACGGTATCCTAAACCGGGTCCGAGAATTCCTCCGTTCAAGCGGGGAAGAGGGCTGCTGCGACAGTGACGACTGTGGCGGTGACTGCCGTACAAGTAGTTAGGAGTCATTTTTGCAGAACATTCTCTGAGATTAGGCAGGGAGTTTCACGCGCAGTGGAATCGTGGTGCAGAGGTCGACATTTCTGTTAACGCTGGAAAGACCGAGCTGATACTGTTCTCTAGAAGAAGGAAGCTTGCCTGCCTTCTTTGAGACTAGACTAGACGGTAAATACCTAGGAGTTATCTTGGACTGTAGACTGCACTGGAAAGAGCACATGTTGACTACTAGGTTAATAAGGCTACCAATGGAAACTCCGTTGGATCTAATGATCCGCGGAGAAGCGAGAGTAGTCGCACATCGACCGTGGAGCCAGGGCAGCTGGGCCTTTATGAATCATGTCAAGGGTCACACCGCCAACTTAGTCGAATTACAAAAGGAGGTTCCCGTCCTTCTGAGCAGGGGTGATCTGATCACCCCTAAATATCGCTTTAGCTGTAAGTTTAATGTGGAGTATCCGACAAAAGCGGAGTGGGATTCCGAAAGCCGGAAGGTCTCTGGAGGAAGTGAGCAAGTCTTGTACACAGACGGTACCGTTACAGAAGACAGCTCTGGCATCTGGGTCTTTGTGCCTAAAATTAGGCTCCCACTGTCTCTCTGCGGATTCATTACTATTTTTCAAGCGACAATCTATGCGATTCTGGCTTGCGTGTCCCGCATTTTGGAGGGGGAAGCGCGTAGGAGAAGAATAATCTTCTTCGACAGCCAGGCTGCGATGAAGGCACCAAGTGTCTGCAAGATTACTTCTAACCTTATATTGTAATGCAGAGAGGCTCTGGATAGCTCGGCAGCGAGGTATCCGGTATCGGTAGTGTGGGTACCGGGGTACGCCGGGAAAAAGGGTAATGATACGGCGGGCGTTCTCGCGAAAGCAGGATCAGCGGACAAGCTTTTGTTGGTCCTGAGCCAGCCCTAGGGGTGCCCGCACAAAGATTCGGGAGAATAATGGGGAAGTGGTTGCTAGACAAGACTCTCTTAAATGGAGAAGCATCTCTGGACATCTCTGTTACGCACGGGAGCGCACCTTAGGGCCCAGTGTTAAGCATGGACGCTTTAGCTCATCTTTGAATAGGTTGTTGGTGGGACTGCTGTCTGGCCATAATACAATGAGGTATCACGTGTATGTGATGGGGGTGGCTGAGGATCCCACGTGTGAGCCGCTGCGCGGTAGAGGAAGAATCGTTGGCGCATGCTCTGTGTCGCTGTGAATCTCTGAGCTACTACAGGCAGACTGTACTTCCTCAGAATGTTAAAGAGCTGGGACCCAGGGCTATACTCAACTTTGCTATAAGGGCGGTGCTTGAGGCTTAGGGAATATAGTTGTGCTTAAGGGCCCGTTACGTGGCGTCTGTGCCGGCTCCTCGTGGTAGCCGATATGCCTCTAATTTCTTTATTCATTTATTCCTTGGTACAAGTCAAATTACGTTGTTCATATAAAAAAGAAACAGTCGATTTGAAAAGCTTTTTTTACTAGACTACTAATAAAAATAATAAAAACATGAGAGCAACGATCACAAATCACAATAATAAAAACTTAAAACTACTTAAAGCTACATCTAAGTTCAATGTATAACATTGATATAGGTACAAAACAGGTTAAACGCACATTTATTCGAGCTCTTTCAATTACATATACACCTGGGTTTCAATTTACACTTCCCAAAATACGGCATTTGGAATTGAAAAATTAAATGGAAGTAATATAATAGGCAGGTTTCCAAATGAAACATTGAGAATAATGTGCATGTTCAGGTATGTTAATAGAAGTGAGAGGGTGGGTATAAAGA